TATTTAGGTACCTCCGTGAAATCATTTAAAATGAGCAGAGCATGATCTAAAAGACGCCAAGCTTGACGAAAACAAAATTTTATCGTCTAAATATTCATTTTTTTATTAAGAGGAAAGACCAAAGTATTTTTTAATTATTTTTAAAATTTTTTCCTTTTTTTTAGAACATTCTAACTTTTGATTTAAAAAAAAAAAAAAAACTTGTTTCTCTTTGTGTCAAAATAACAAAATTTCAAGCGTTCTTTTTCTGTATGACAGACATTAATTTAGAAAATCTTACAAAAATAAAAATAATTGTCGGATTCTAATGAAACTTTCAGAAACTATTCACAAATGATGGAACTTATTATAAATATGTTTTCCTTTTTTAAAGTCATGGCAATTTTTCTTTATTTAATAACCCCACCCCCTAACTAATTTTATGAAAACTCTATAATTTCAATTGAACAAACTAATGATTATATTAGTTAAAAGCACAAGGCTTTGAGGAAACCAAATTATTTTTTTTCAGATAGACCAACTCTACCTGAAAATCATCTGTGAATTGTATCATACAAAACACAATAAAACAAGGATATTATTTAATTTGAATTTCAAATTCTTTTAATTGCTTTTAATGAATATTGATATTGTCTGAAAGCAAAAACAATTTTCGGTGAAAAAATGAGTTTTTAAAACAATTATTTGTTATTTCTTAAAATATTTTATTATTTTTACATTAAATGTTGTTAATTCTTCTAAAATTAGTGAAAAGTTTGTACAATTTAGTCACTGGTGTTATTAAGTGGAATTATAATTTACAGATTATAATTTCTAAAGCTTCTTACAAACTAACGAACACAAGTATATGAAAAAAATAATTTGTGTCCATAAAAAGGCTGTAAAATTCTAATCTACGCAAGATTAGAAGTATCATGAATTCAATAAAAAAAAAACCTCACGTGAATTGAGTTTCTATCTAGTATTTAATTGTTCTTCTCCAGAGTTTACGGCTTTATTTTTTGCAAATTGCCCGTACGAAACACGCGTGGAGCAATTTATTTTCCGTTTTTATTAAAAAAAAAAAAGAAAAAAACATTTAAGACAATGTCGTCTGCTAAATATTGTTGTCATCACCCAGGTCACGAGGTGTTAAAAAAAACAAAACAAAACACATGAAGCCATTGTTCAAACATAGGTTTGAAAAAAAAATCCCTGTCAAGGCCTTATTAGAAATATTGCTCTTTTTTCACTCTTTGCTCTTATCTTGTAAATGGTGGGATTTACAAGCTAATAACAGCTTGTTTTATCGCTGGTTGGCCGGCCTTTGACCAGACATGTCAAATCTCAGTTTGGTTTAATTTTCCTTATCGCTGCTATTTTATTTGTTTAAAAAAAACCCCTTAAAACTCGGTTTTCGGTGGTCAGAAATTGCGGATAAATCTTTCACCTTTTACCAAAGATTTCCGTGGCCGGGTGTCAGTATTTTTCACCCCTGGCGGGCTATATAATTGAAAATTACCAATATTTTACGTTGTTTTATCACAATAAAAGTATGAAAAGTGAAAATAGTCAGTGACAAGATGACTTGGGATAGAATTTTTTTATCATAGCAGATCTGAATTGACTTTATTTAATTTTTTGGAGGGCCATTAGGGCCCTCAAACAGCTGTACAGCACTTGTATTTTGATTTCTTTATAGTATTTGTAATTTCTGCAGATTGTATCAACAAACTTATGGTGAAAGCTACATACAAAAAAAAAAAAATAAAAAATAAAAAAAATTGGAATGCTGAAAGTTTTTTGTTTCCTTTAATAATTACGAAGTACTACATAAGCTGGTTCACTTAAAAAAACATTACGTCAATTTTGTCCTTCCGTATGATAACTCGAATCTCATGTTAGCTGTCAATATGTGATGAATATCACCATTACGCACTTGTCAATCGCCAATGATGTTAAGATCGGCCCCCTTTAATTTAAACAACTTTTTTTCTGGGAAGAAAGTAGTAAAAGTTTCTTTCAAAATATATTAAATAAACTTTAAATTCACTAATTTTCTTCAAATATATTTTTAAAACGTGAATTTAGGTAAAAATGGCAGCGGTAAAAATGGCAACGGAAAAAATGGCAGCGGTAAAAATGGCAACGGTAAAAATGGCAAAGGTTGATATGCCGTAAAACAAAATAAAGGAAAACCAAACCTGATTTTGTTACAAAGAACACTTTCTTTTTATTATATATATATATATATATATATATATATATATATATATATATATATATATATATATATATATATATATATATATATTCATATATTTCCATAAAGTGCAATCAATTTACAAATTCATGAATTATTCATACAAAAACAAATACAAAGGTTAATGATTTAATTGGCGAGAAATCCATCGTCGCGAACAATTCAAATTATATACAAAAACCCCGAATCTGTTTATGAATGAAAAGATCCTTGTTCTTATAAATTCCTGCCAATTAAATCATTGCTTTGTATTTGTTT